TGAAACCTTAAATTAGAGTGAATAAATGAAGACTCGGCACACCACTTCTGAAAGGTTGCTGACCCCTGGTATAGACTCTCCCCTATACCCTTAGACACTTCTGTCTCTCCCCGGACGTAGGTCTGTATCACAGGTTGTAGTGCGGGGTCAGATTGTGTTTGAGAAACACCTTGGGGTTGTGAGATTAATGACTGGGGCTGAGACATTCACGGGGCCCAAGGGATTTTGGTTCCCAACTCCAACTGCAAATTAATTGTCATCCCATGGGTGCAGGAAGGGGCAGGTTTAGGGGTGCCCACAGAGGGGTTAAGGGTGCAGAGGAGCAGATAAAGGATGCCCATGGAGGGGCAGAGTTAAGGATGCACGGACGGTCACAGTTAAGGTTGTTGGCTGTCCCCCAGCCTGGACAGGCCACGTTGCTGTTCTGTACCCATAACCCTGTGCAAGTGCTATTTCCCCACGTCTCTCCCTAGAATGGGCACCGGAGGAGTCTCCCCTACTAAGGCTGGTGTCTCTGCAGAATGCTGATGGCTCGTGGGACCTGGACCCCCGGCTGGCCGCCTCGCTGGGGGTGAGCGAGACCGATGCCAGGGGGAGGATGCCCAGTAAGGTGAGTGCAGGGGGCAGAGGAGAGGGGAGAGACAGGGGGGACAGGTGCCATGAGTTGGGCCTGTTCTCTGGTCCTAGATGAGACTGGGTGTGGCCTAGACTGGGGGGGACAGGATCTAAGAGTGACTGGATCAAATGACCCCTGAACCTGGAGCCCAGTGCGGGAGATGGGCCCACAGCGGGGAGCTAGAAACCCCCTTGCAGGGGATCAGAGCATTGGATCGAGGGGGGCCCAGGGCTCGGGGGGGGGAGGGACATGGGGAGGCCCAAGCCGGGTCCTATAAATAAAATAAATAAATAAATAAATAAATAAATAAATTGAGATATCCTATCTCCTAGAACTGGAAGGGACCTTGAAAGGTCATTGAGTCCAGCCCCCTGCCTTCACTAGCAGAACCAAGTACTTATTTTGCCCCAGATCCCTAAGTGGCCCCCTCAAGGATTGAACTCACAATCTCTGAGACTGTCTCCATACCCCGGGTATCCCACTGGGCATCTGGGTAGGGGGTCCACGGTGCTAAAGCAGGAGGGCTGGGAACCCTCTGAGTCTGGGGAGGGGATGGGAGCACTGGTTTGGGGGGTCCCCAGGACGGGGGATGGGGGCAGCACTCGGGGGGGCAGAGGAGTCCCCAGGGCAGGGGGTTGGGGGCAGCACTGGGGTGGGTCAGGGGGGTCCCCTGGGTGCGGGGATGGGGCAGCACTGGGGGGGTCCCCAGGGTGGGAGGATGGGCAGCATTGGGGGCAGGGAAGATGGGGGCAGCACTGGGTGGTCAGAGGGTCCCAAGAGTGGGGGGATGGGGGTAGCGCTCGGGGGGACAGGGGTCCTCAGATTGGGTGCTGTCTCAGGCTGTGTCTCTTCCCCCTCCCCGCCCCAGGACGTAGCCCCAGGCGTCTGGGCCACGGTGCTGGCTGTGGTCTGGCTGCACGGCCAGGCCGCGGGGCAGCGCAACGAGTGGGAGCTGCTGGAGGCCAAGGCTGTGGGCTGGGTGTGGGGCCGAGCAGGTGAGACAGGAGTGGGGGGGTTGGGGGCAGGGCCCAGGGCCTTGACCACAGAGCCCCTGCCCCATAGCCCAGTCCCCCCCGAGACTTCCCTGTCCCACAGCCCAGTCCCCCCCCCCCCCCGAGATCCCCCAAGCCCACAGCACCAACCCTACTCCATGGGATCCCACAGTCCAACCAACCACAGCCCTGAGATCCTGCATCCCATGGGTCCCAGGGCCCCCTGCCCCCCAGCATCCTAACAGCCTCTGGCCCCCCAGCCAGACCCCCAGAGGCCTCCAGTCCCAGGACAGACAGGCTCCGAGCCCCTTGCTTCCCATCCCATTCCCCCCATCTCCCCAATATCAGTCCCCCGGGCTGTAAGCTCTTTGCCCTTTGTTCCCCAGGCTGATGTCTCCCCCGACCCTCTTCTTGTTGCAGGGCCCCAGCTGAGCGAATGCCTGGAAGCCGCCAACGCCCTGCTGGGCTGCAGGGTTGGCCCTGCTATCTTCAGACTCTGAGCCCCTCCGGATTCCTCTACCCTCCCCCCCTCGCAAGCTACCCTGGGCCTCCAACCCAGCTGAGCCCCCCCATCCCCGTACTCCTCCCCCAGCTACCCTAGGCCTCCAACCCAACTGAGCCCACCCGATCCCCATACCCCCCGCCTCCCAAGCTATCCTGGGTCTCAAGCCGCACTGAGCCCCCCCCCCACACACACACACACAAACACCAAGGATCCTAAATTAAGAGCAACCAGTTGGTTTGCATAAGTTTAACGAAAACAGTTTAAATTGACCCTGTAACTTACAGCGGAGGAAGGTCGTTGTGCAGACAGGCCCTTGGTGCTGTGGGCGGAGACTGTCTCTGCCAGCCCCTCGCTGGAATAAAGCAGTTCCCCAAATTTGTCTGCCTGGCTTTGGCTGGGGTCCCGGGCTCCGAGCTCCCCACAACTGCCCAGGGCACTGGGTTCCCAGTAGGGTCAGGGACCGCCGGCCCTGAGCAGGTGGATTAGCGCTCCCAGCTGCGGCTTTCTGGTGGGGCAGAGCAGCAGGACCCAGACGCTGGGGCGGCTGGCGGGGGCCGGGAGGAGCCCCGGAGAGCGGGGAGCACGTGGGATGCATGTGGCAGACACAGGGCATTCGTCCAGGGCAGTGTTTAGCAGGACGTTTTAGCTCTGGGCCTGTGCGGACCCCTGACACCCCCTCACTGGTCTCTGCTCCACCAGGAGGAGGAGCTGCTAGGCCTGGAAAATCTGTCCCTGCTCGGCCGCTGTTGGGACACGTGATTGCCATTCAGATACTGGGGAACCGGGCGTCCAGCCTCCCGGCAGCTCGGGAACCCCCAGTCCTGCCTGGAGCGAGGACACAGAGTCATTGTAATGGGACAGGGAAGCAGCAAAGGCTCTCCCCCTGCCCACACAGCCCCCCAGCGCTTTGCCTGTCTGCTTCCGCCTGTGCTCTGACGCCAACGGCCTTGTGGGCTCTAGCAGCCGAGTCTCCTGTGCTGAGCCCCAGCGGCTGCGGGGCCAGGCCCTGATGCTGCCAACCCAGGGCATTGAAATTGGAAGGAACAATTCTAGAGAGAAAAGACTGGGGAAGATTTTCCTGGCACAGATGGCAGCCAGGTGCCCAGCTCCCCTGGACAGTCTAGAGAGATGAGGGTTGTTATCCTGATGTGTAACAACGATAAACCCAGGGGAGCTGGTGCTCAGCCTGGGCCTAGGGGTGGGCCAAACCCCCACCTCTGAGCCCAGGAGCTGGGTGGGAGGAGGCAAAATCCAGGCTCTTTATAGGTCGCCAGGCAGAAAGCTCCGTGAAGGTGAAGTTCAAGGTTCGGGGTGGTGCCTGTCCCTGCGGGGTAAGAAATATCCCATGACTGGTGCCAGGATCCCCACAGCACGTGTAGCAAATCCCAGAGACTCCCCATCCCCATGACACGGAAAAGAAATGCAAACCCATTCAGCCAGGAAACGCAGAGTCCCCAAATGAGTCCCCAAATGCCCTAACTCTGCCTGGGGCCGGCACAGGATCTTACGATTCAGACAGAGGTGCCCCACTTCCACTTCCAGCTCTGACGTCCCATGTTCAGGCTCCCCTGGCATTACCCAAACCCCACTCAGCTGCTGCCGAGCCCTGTGAGCTCCCTGTCAGGGTGCCTACAGCACCTCCATTTCTGCCCCAGGACCTGCGCCTCCGGCGGGTGCCCAGGCTCTGGGCCCCGGGGGAGGCTCCAAGCCGCTGTCGTGATGCCGGATCCAGTGGCTGTGCTCTGATCTCCGGCTGTCTCCTTATGGCTTGTACCCCAGGGGTTCGAGCACTCGCCCTGGTTCAGCTCCCCACCCTGCCAGCTGGAGAGAGAGACTGTGAATATGGGCCTCTCACCTGGCTGCAGCGCCCGAACCCAGAGCTCCGGGCTAACCCGGGGAGGCTCCAGCCAGAGCTGTTTCACTCTGGATCATAACTCACTAGTCAGGGGACGGGTTCCTGCTCTCCCGCCCCCGGGGAGCTCTGAGGCACCAGGCTCCAGTGTCACTCGCTCGCTCTCTGGCCGAATGGCTCCTCTTAGCCATTCCCTATGGCAGCTTCCGGGGCAACACCCGCAGCTCCCCACTCTGGATTTGCCAGCTCAGACTCCCTCCTCCCAGGCAGGCAGTAACCACAGACTCCACTCCATAGTCCCAAACATGCCTCCCTTGGCCCCGTGAGTGACTGCAGAACATGTCCCTGCAGCCCCTGTCTGCTCGCAGCTCCTGGGCTTTCCACGGGCCCCTGCTGTTCCCGGCCAGCTGAGCTGTGAGAGTGGGAAGTTGCCCCGAGTGTGACCGCCACTTCCTGAGTTTGCAGAGAGCCTGAGCCCATTGCTTCAAGAGGCGGGTCATGAGTCCCAAAGGGATGGTGAGTCTTACTGGGGGTAGGAAGAGAGGAGGGAAGGGAGCATGTGCCAATGAGTCTGAAATCAAATGTGTCAGAAATAGCAACAAACAAATAAATAAATAAACAATACAAATCTGTTTTATCCTCAAGGTTTTGTTTCACATTCTGTCTGACAAATGACAGTCGAGGCGCAATGAGGCCAGGGCAGCCTGGGGATCGACACTGTGATTTTTAGTGTCATCAAACAGATTTCTGGGTGTGCATTTGCTGCCCACCCAGGGCCGGGCTTTGGGGTCACCTGGCATGCACGTGACGGAGGCCGTGTGTGTCTGGCAGGTCGAACCCTCCTCGGGGAAGACAGCACGGCTGGGATGGACAGTGGGCCTGCCAGTGAAATGGCCCCCAGAGGGCAGCAAAGGGTCAGGAAGGAGCAAGGGGCAGTTTGGAGACACCCCCAGCCCAATTCAGTGGGAGGGGGGAGGCAGGGCCGGCTCTGCCTTTTTGGCCACCCCAAGCAAAAAAAAAAAACCTGTGGCACGGCCGGAGCGCGGGTGCAGGGAGACCGGCTGGGGGGGCGGGGGAAGGGAGCAGGCGGGAGAGAAGAGAG